AATGATACTGTATGAATATTTTACACTGATAGTAACTGATTTTGATTAATGACTGATATCATTGTGATATGATAATTGTAATTAACTGTAATTAAATTATAACATCTTAATTTATCACTGTAGCAAGCAAAATTTTGCAGTTATGCAAAAGTTGTACTACTTAAAGGATATATTAAATCATGAAACAATTAAAAGTTAAAACTGAAGAAAATACTGTAACTGATAATCTGGAATAATTTTAGGATTAGTATGAGTTAAATGAGTTTAAATAAGTTAAATGAGTATAAATTAAAATGTGGGAATGAATTTGTTCTGAAAAAATTACTGAAAAAGTAATTAATATTTACATAGCTATTTGATAAACAATTAATTAGTAGCAATAATGATTAGTCTAGTATCAGTCAGTAAATACTACTTTAAGTTAATATTTAAATTAATTTTTTTGTACATATAATTGTGAACTATCTTCTTAACACATCCATTGCTGAATCATCAAAATAAAAATAGTGGCGCATTATTAATTTACATTTTAAAAGAAATGGTAATTTGAAAATGTCATTTCTGTTTGATTGTAAACAATGTAAGAAAAATTTTGTAACAGAGAATTGAGATTAACAAATGACAAAGAATGAATGTTTAAAAAAGGATAGAATTTAATCAGTATGAGTCATGCAATTGATCATTTATAATTTTTAGAAATACAATCTAACTAATTGCATATTGATAAAATAGAATTAATTTTTTAATCGATTTAAGCGATGACTCATCAACACATATGTATTTTTTAAAAAAAAAAAAAATAAAAATAAACAAATAATTTCTTCCTTGTACAATAATTTGAAGTAATTTACATATTGTATGAGTAAATAACCTTATCTTTTGTTGGCTCGCCTTTTTTTTTTATAGCTTTATGCTAGATGTCATGATAAGCCTTAAAAAAAGAGAAGCAAATTAAGCAAACAGTACTGAATATATTTAAACATTTACTCTCAGCTAAATGTATAGTTTTTTTGCTTTGTTAATTGTATCATTTGATTTGCAAAATTTATAGCAAAATTAAATTAATTTAATTAAATGATTTAATGAATTAGATTGATAAAAAGTTTAATTTTTAAAATCAAAAAAAAAAAAAACAAATAATTCCTTCCTTGTACAATAATTTGGATTAGGAAAAGCAGAGTCATTGATTAATAGATCAATTTCAAAAAAAAAAAAAAAAGAAATAGAAAAAAAAGAAACAAAAAGAAAAATTGATCATGAACAGAATTATTGATTGATTGATTGATCAATTTTAAAATAAAAATAGAAAAAATAAAAAACAAAATGAAAAGTTAGGAAGATGAAATTATATTTCGTAAAATATTTGGGCTTGGTAATTATAAGGAATGAAAATTGTTAGAAACAATAAAAAAGAAAAAAGTGTAAAAATGAAGATTTTTCTCTCATTCCAAAATCGCCAATTTTTCTTAGTTAAATCAAATTTTAAATTTTCTGCAAAAAAAAAAAAAAAAATTTAAGTCGGATGAAATTGTGATTTTTTTCTTTTTTTAAGTTCATTCGCCAATGTTCACTTATATTTAAATTTCACTAAAAAAAAAAAGAGAGAAATCTATACTATAGTTTAGAAATTCAAATTGAATTGAAATTAATCCATTTACAATTCATTTAACAAGATTAACCTAATTTAAAACTATCCAATTAACAAGATTAACCTAATTTAAAACTATCCAATGTATTAAAAAAAATAAAAATAGTATTTTAAAGTATTTTTTAGGTTAATAATGAATATTATCATTCAGAAATTCAATACTTATTTCTGAAATACTAAATTTTAAATCGATATTGTATGACGTTAAGCAATTTTACTTTGTTATTTACTTAAACAAATGAAATTTTTGTTATTTTTTTATGCACTTTAAAAAAATAAAAATAAAAAAGAGAGATTGATGAGATAAGCTAATATCGTTGGAGGAGCAAAAACTTTAGCAATTTCAAAATATGAAAATTTTAAATTGAAAATTATTTGTAATGGTGTATTGAAGGCGCAAAATAACGTATAACATTTTACGATAATACGTACACTTATAATTTATGTATAACAATAATTAATCAAACATTTTTAGTAAGAAGATGGAAAATTTTTTTAACAAAATATAATATGATGAAGTGGTGAAATAGTTTGAAAATTGAATTGAAATTTGATGAAACTTTGAATTTATAAAAATAAAATGAATAAACAAACATTTATTTCAAACATTTCAAGTGCCCTCTGATTAATTGCTTAGACTACTGTTGTTGTTGTTGTTGTTGCTGTTATTGTTATTGTTGCTGTTGCTGTTATTGCTGTTATTGTTGTTGTTGCTGTTATTGTTGTTGTTGCTGTTATTGTTGTTGTTACTGTTATTATTATTAGTGCAAGGAAATAATACTGAACAATGTTGTTTATTTTCGAATATTTCATCTGCTAAATGAGTGAAAAACTTCGGTTGAATGAGTCAGAAGGAAGTCGGAGAAACGGTAAGCAACACGTAAACAAACGGAATGACGTGATTAGACGAATAAAAGATAAAACATCAATAATTCAAATCGAATTAGAATCATTAACAAACATTAACAAAATTTATTTGTCAATATTTTGGGTATTTTTTTGTTTTTGCTAATTAATACAGTTTTGTTTATTTTCTAATATTTGAACTCAGTCAATTGAGCAAAATGTGCAAAAAAAGTTTTATTCAACATTTAGCTAAAATATTTTGGATTGTTGCATAATAATATGAATAATTAAATATTTGTTATGTATGTACCAATGCTATTTACATCTATAATTCCATTTTTTTTTTTTTCTTATTTCGTCGGAAAATTTGCATTTTCTCACAGATAACATTGTGATAATAGTAATAATAATAATAATAATTTAATAATAAATAAATAAATAAATAAGTAATAATAAAAATATAAATTGTAATAATAATAATAATAACAATAATAGTGATAATTAACAATATTATTAATAGCAATTAATAATAATAATAATAGTAATAGCAATGGTAATAGTAATAATAATAATAATAATGATAATAATAATAATAATGATAATAATAATAAGAATAGTAATGATAATAATAATAATGATCGTAATAAATATGAAAAGAAACAACTTGTAAAAGCAAATAACATTGATGCTGTGATCTTTTTTTTTAAAAAAAAAAAGAGAGGCTGAATGTCATTGAATATATTTCACAAATTTTTTGTTATGAAAATTATATGAGAATTACTGTGTCCCTGAAAAAAATGTGAAATTATTATTTTTTTTTTTTTCTTTTCGTACTAAAAGAGAATAAAAAAAAATGGAAGAAATCACTTCAATTATAATACATATTATATGCTTTTGTATATTATCAAATATGAAATTTTATATCATTTTTATCTGTTATTTATCTTATCACTAATAATAACAGTTTGTAATAATTGAAGTGAAACTTTGAAAATTTTGCTTCTTTTATTTAAATTTTAGTATTTTTAAATATTTTTTGTTAGAAATTTTCACTAACAAATTGATTGAAATTTTCGAAAAAAAGATGCAATAAGCAGTAATTTAAATGAATTTTGCATTTTTTTTTTTTTGTTTTTTTGGTATGATTAATGGCAAATAGTTATTTAAAAATTATTTCTTAACAATAAATAATGTTTAATGAATTATTTTCAATTTCTTTTTTGTGATATTAGAATTATGATGAATGGATAATTTAATAAATTAAATTCAAAAAGCAAGAAGACAACAGGCGCTAAACTCAATTATCACTAATTTAACTTATCACTTATCGATCTTTCTTTCTTGCGCTTATCATATCAAATTTAGTGTTTAAATATTAAAAAACTCATTGTTACATTTAATTTTTTTTTTCATTTAATTCTTCAATTTTTAATTTCTAATTAATTATCAGAAAAATAATATTATCACAGTAATAGCTTACCTTTCATTTCAATAATACTATTATAGAATCCAAAGATATGAAAAAAAAAAAAAAAAAAAATTTGAATAAATTCAATTTACTCTTTCCATCTCCAAAAATTTAGTGTTTAAATATATTTCTACAAATAATTTAAAGAGAATTTCTAGCAGTAAAATACGAGAATATTAGCTAGTATTAATTAATTATCGCTTTTCCCGCATTATCTACCTACCCAAGCGGGAACATTTGCAACGATGGGAGCAAAATTTAAATAAAGCAAAAAATGAAATGACTTATTGATCTTTTGAAATTTTTACTATTGCTATTGTTATTACAGTTTCATATTAAGTTGAAAAAATAAAGCCTAAAAAAAAAAAAAAAAATTTCAAAAATAAAAAACCGAATAGTAAAATTCAAAAAAAAAAAAAATCCCACAAATTCATTATTGTTTAAAAAAAAAAAAAAATGATTTAAAACAAAAGAAAATAAATAAAATATTCCAATGTGATTCTTTTCGCTAATTTATCTTTGAATTGCTTTCATTAATTAATTATTCATTTGAAACAATAATGAATACAAAGCTTTAATAATAATTATATAAAATAGAGAAAAAAAAAAGAAAAAATATTTTTGCAATATTATTTTACTAAATGTAAAAGTACAATAAATTTATAAAAATATAAAATGTTTATAAAATATACCATAAAAAAAAGAATTAATTGTATTCTTCGCCATATTATTATATTTACTTGTAAGTAAACATTTTCAAAAAAAAAAAATTTTTTTTCTTATTTAAAATTTAATTTAAACCTAGCAATGTATGTTTATCAAATAAAAAGTTTTTTTTTTTTTTTAATATGAAATTTAACTTTTTACTATTCCAATTAATGAAATATATACCTACTGCTAATAAAAGCTTATCAATAGTTATATCTATTTAAATTATTTTTTGAAAGAAAGTTTAATAATTAATTGTTCAATGAAATTTTTCCTTTCATTTTGAACAATTAATTAAAAGCCTAATTTAGGTATACAATTTTGTAAAGTTTAATAAATTGACAAAAAAAAAAAGCAAAAAGCAAAAAGCAAAATAAATATGATTGATGATGAACAAATATTATAAATGCAATTTGCTTTGGATGACATTTTCTCAACAACAAATTTCAAATTATCAATTGTTTTGCTTATTATCTTATTATCACCAATTTTATCATTGCATGCATCATTCCCACGACAACAACATAATTTCCCAATTTTTCGCTCATTGTATTGCTGAAAAAAAAAAAAAAGTTAAAAAAAAAAAAATTTCGGCATTTTTTTTTTTAAAATAGTTTAAACTTGAATGAATTCTATTATTACAATGATACATCTCATTTAATAATACTAAGGTATTCGTATTGTTATACTATAAGTTTTTTTTTTATTAACTAAATTTCATTTCTCTTTTTTTTTTCTTTTTGTCATATATATGTTTTTTTTTTTTTTAGATTTGTCTAATTTTTTTTCCCTTATATTTAATTTTATACATAGTTAAAATGAATTGATAAATTTGATAAATAGAATTGATAAATTCAAATCTGTAAGTTTTTTGATAAGGAATAAATTGAAGCAAAAGTATTGCTATAAAATTGCATCATATAATTAATTAATAAGTTTATTACTTTTGAATAAAGATCCAAACAAGCTATTGTGGTATCATTGATAATATCAGTCTTATCAACAAATTGATCACATCTTGGTTGCTCCAATAAATCATCCATATCATCAAAGTAGACACGATTTGCTATACGCTAAAAAAAAAAAAAAAAAACCAAAAATTGAAATTTGAAATGTAAATTTTATTTTAAATCAATAGCTAAAATAAAATCGAAAATTTAATAATATATTAAATAAGTACGGATCGGTTTTGTTGGAATAATTTTTACTACATATTTTAATACTAACATTTTAATGGTAATAAGAAATTATGATATCAATAGAATAGTAAAAAAAAAATAAAAAAAATTTGAAATTAATTTCAGATTTACAACTACAAATAAAATTTCATGCGAATATGAAAATTCAAATAATGATAGTAATTTGAATTAGTTAATTAAATAATCTACAACTGGTATTTGTCGATCAATTTTGAGACGTTTCAAAGCTCGTGATTGACAACCTCGTAAAATTGCTTCACTCCCGTCGCTATTCTAAATTGATAATTAAAATTTAATTAGTCTAGAGATTAATAATTTCAAAAAAAAAAAAAAAAAAAAGTAAATAAAATTATAATAAATAAAATTAGTTTAGATGTTATGATTTAATAATTTTTAAATTGTACTACAACTTTTTTTTTTTTTTTCCATTAATGATGACCCAAAAATTTTTAACTAAATTCAATGAAGAATTTAAAAAAAAAAAAAAAATTTAGAGAAATGAAAAGTAGTGAAAGGAAGTGAAAAAAAGTAGCAATGACAAAAAAATGACATTCGAAAGTAAATTATCTATCAGGAAGAAAAAAAAAACATTAGTTGATAATTATAATATATAAAAAGAATAAAAATTCCTTTCAATAATATCCTTGAAAATGTTCAAAAATTTTCAAATGAATATATTTTATTATCATATAAATTTGAAAATTTGCAAATCTTTTTGTAAAATAAACAAATAAAAAAGAAAAAAAAAAAAAAAAAAAAAAAAAAAAAAAAACAAAAACAAAAAAGCACTACTTGAAAAATGTTAAATTTTAGAAAAAAGAAATTGATAATTGATATAATTTTTAATTATCATTTCTATATAAATACTTGTCAATTTTACTTATCATAATTTATAATTTAATTTTACTTATCACAAATGCATAATTTAAGTTTTTTTTTTTTTTTTTTTGTTTGAAAAACTATTTAAATTTTAACATTTTATAAAAAGATTTATGATCAATTTTTTTTTTTCCAACTTCAATTTCAATAGTTAAAATTAAATAAAAAGTAAGAAAGAGTACATATTTGAAGTAAGCAAAACACCATGGATCGAAACAATTCTTGAAATGTGCAATTAATTTATCATACTGATAGTTATAAACACAACTTTGAAAGCCAATTGACATTATTGGTTTGACATTTAAGAAATTATAATTGCACATATCCTAAAATAAAAATAAAATATTGGAATAATTTAACTTAATTATTACTCATTTACCTTAACTCTTCTTTAACTTTTTACTCTTTTATAACTTTCCTCTTGCATTTATCCTATTTTACTTTATTTATTTTTTTTTAAATCTATTCAAAATTACACACATAACTTACAAAAAAAAAAAAAAAAAAAGAAAATTAGATTAAATTATTTTGATAAAATTTTATGTGAAAATTTTTTCCTCAAAAAAAAAAACAAACAAACAATCATTCTAGCTAGCTAGTTTAATTTTTTGATGATTACATTTAACTCTAAATTAATTAAACTACTCCTCTTTCATAAACTCTAAATTAATTAAACTACTCCATCTGCTTATATTTTTTCAGACAAGGAAAAATTTACAATTTAATTTAAAATTTCAAAAAAAAAAAAAAAAAAAAAAACGAAAAAGAAAGTTTGAATTAATTTAACCGCTTCATTGCAGCAACATTTAATATTATCATTGCCACGATCGAAACATCCGGTTGAATTAAGTCTTCTACGAAGTGATTCCTGATTTGAGCAATATTTTGACTTATCACAGTCAAATAAACCAGAAATTTTATCATGAAAACACCAACCGAACAAATTATTTGTTTCACAAATACCCTTAAATTTAAATTTGCAAAAAAATAAATTTAAAATTTTATCCTTTTTCTTTTTTTTTTTTTGTTTGAAATATAAGAATTATTTAAAATGTAATAAAATTTTCAAATTTCAACTGAAAGACTACAGAAATTAAATTTACCTTTACGCTATCAACACAATCTCGACAATCAGTTGATCCAAAATACAAGAATATAAGCAATAGCATGCTGTAAGATTTCTTTTTTTTTTCATATTTAATTAGTATTTCTAGCTAAAATGAAAAGAAATTTATTCTCGAATCACAGAAAACAAAAAAAAAAAAATTTTTTTTTCAGTGGTTTCATTGGGAAATTATTGATTATTTAAATGAATGCTTTTGAAAAAGTTTTAATTATATTTTAATTAATTTAAAGTGACATAAAGCTAACGAAAAGTAGTTCAAGTTAAAACATATTTGAAAACTTTTTAAATTTATTTTTGAACCCACAAAAGGATCCATTACGAAGAGCTGAGCACAATTAATACATAGCATTTGTGTCACATTTTTTTAGAGAGGAAATTTTATTGTCAAAGCTAACTTTCCTTGCATATTATCCCTTTTCATGCATTCTTAATGTAAAAAAAAAAGAAAAAAAAAAACGACATCACAATTTATTTTTTATTTTGCATATAAAAATTCATCGAAAAATATATTCTTTGATCGCTATCTCTCTCTCTCTCTCTCTTTTTTTTTTTTTTTTTTTTTTTGTTTTTTCTTGAAAAATCCAAGGAAAAAGTATATTCTTATAATCAATATATTAGAATAAAGTTAATTGTGTTTTTTGATATTCATTAAAAAATGTTAAATTCTTGAAATTATCCATCCATTAGTTCCTAAATTTTGACTTTAATCTATTCATGGTATCATAACTTTATATTATAATATTTAAAGTTACCAAAATTTTCCTAAGATTTTTTTTTTCTGTGACAATTTGCTTTTCTTCCAGAGGTTTTTATAGTACGTAATACAATAATTTATTCTTGCATACATATATAAATGAATTAAAAAAATTACAACCTTAAAATTATCACATCAAATGTGAATTATATAACATTTAACAAAGCAAATTAGACTAATGAGAATATAGTAAAATACAATTTTCTAGTAATATAGTTTATAATTTAAAATTTTATGGAATGATATAATGAATAATAATCATTTGATCTAATATATTTAAAAAACAAATTTCTAAAAAAAAAAAAAGTGGTGCATATTCATTTGAGTTTTTTTTTTTTTTTTTTTTTTATTAAATTGTAGAAGATTTCAATAAACTATGAAATTAATACTAATAAAGTTTTGTTGATTTAATAGTAACTTGTGGAGCAAGTATATCTAAACGACTTTGCACCAATTGTAATTCCAATTCCTTCGATGTTGGACTATATTCTTTCGGATTTCGCTGATCTACAAACAACAACATATTTTCTCAAATTTAAATTTAGCTAATCCTAAATTAAAAAGAAGTAGAAGGAAAAAAAAAAAAAAAAAAAACAAAAAAATTCAGTGTTGAATAATTTCGATTTGAAATCAAATCAAAATCTTTAAAACTTTCTATTACTTTTTAATTTTATATTTTATTTCATTTTAAAATTTGCAAAAAAACATTTTACATTCTAAATTTATAAAAAAAAAAAAAAAAAGAAGTTCCAAATTTCCAATAAAACAAAATTGTTAATAATTTCTAATATAACTTACAATAAGCTTTATTTGCAGTTCGTCTTAATATACCCTGTAAAGTACCAATAACATTTTGAATAGCTAATGCAATATCACCATCCAATTTATCCATCCAAACAAGGAGTAAACTGATGAAAACATCACCAGTACCTACGAATTTTCCTGGTAATATTGGTATATCAAAACGATACTGCAATGCTCGTTCATTTGCGCCTAAATAAAATATTTAAAGTATATATACTTTTTTTATTATTTAATTAAAAAAAAAACTCATATAACATTAATAAAATTTTAAAATTCCTCCTCTTAATAATAAATCTTTTAAAAGAAAAGTTAATAAATAAATAAATAAAATTATTGAGAGTTACAAAAAATTGCAATTATTTTGTGCTAATTTTATTATTCAAAAAAATTTTTGTAATATATAAAAAAAAATAAAATAATTATATGAAAAGATACCTTTGTAAACAGATGCATAACAAAATTTTGTAGTTGATGTTTCCAGACCACTTGAAACAACCACTATTTTAACACCACATTTATGCATTAAATCAATTGCTTCCAAACATTCTTGTTCATTATTTATTGATAAACCAGATAGTTCACTAGTAAAAAGGAAAAAAAAAAAAAAAGAAGAAATAATTACTTTCAAAATTTATAATTCATGTTAAAGATTCAAATTTTTATTGAGAAATGTGTTAAATATCTCAAAATTTATATCAATTTATTCTTTTTTTTTTTAATCTTTCAACAATTCTGAGTAACTTTTCCATAAATAATAGTAGAAATTTGTCGTTTTGTTTATTTATAAATATTGTAGTGATAAAATTAAACAAAACTATTATTGCATGAGAGTAAAGTAAATAAAATAATTTTAGTTTTATCGTTATTTATCAGTGGCGTTAAATAAATTTTTTTATTACTTTTAACATCTACATTTACGTCTACTCCTTTACTTTTTATTTTTACTTTGATCAATTAAACAAATAATGTTTAGCATATGAGTGTCTCTATTAAAATATCATTTTTGTGAAGTATTTAATTTATAAATTCCTCATAATTTCGAACTTACGATAATTCAAAAACATTTGGTGTGATTACATCAGCCAGAGGAATTACAATATCACGATAAACTGGCATCAACTCTTTCGGAACATACTAAACATGAATAAATTTTAAATTTCAAAATGTTTAATGAAATTAATTTTCCACGAAAGAAAAAGTAAACTTTATAATCAAATCATTACTGATTTATCATGAAGTATTTAACCTTAACTTTTGAAATACAACTTACATAATTGCCGTCATCGCCCATTACAGGATCACAGTCTGCAAATACAAAAATTTAAAAATCAAAATTTAAGAATTAATTTTAAAAAAAAAACATTTTTGTCTGACTGATAGCAACTGTAGAACATTAGATTTTTTTTTTTTTCAGAGAGTATAAGTACCAGAAAAAGAATATATATAAACTTCCTTCTACATTATCCATATTTTATTTTATTAACAGGTTCAGTAATAATAATAAAATACTTTTAAAAAAGGTTGTAGATAATCAGAAAGATGTAAAATTCTCACAGAAAAGAATATCTGGATTTCTCTGCTTCAAATCTTTGACTATATTAACAACTTCTTGCAGAAATGATAAATTCCTACAATATCCTGAAAATGTAGAAATGTAAATAGAAAAAAAGAAAACAATTATTATTTGTAATTAATCAACTGGAAAATTATTTCTGAAACTTTAGTCTTATAAGTAATTTGATTTCTTAGAAATCAAATCGAACAATTTCAATTATAAGTCAATATGATAAGTTAACATAAAGATTTTGTAGGTCATTGTTCTCAATAAGCTGTAGGTAAGGTCATCGTTTTTAATAAGCTGTAGTTAAGGTCATTGTTTTTAATAATCAATGATCGAAGTGATTGTAAATTGGCCAACGAATCACAATCCGAAATTCATTATTGTATGAAATGATAAGAGCATCTATAAAATGATACCTGTTAAAATGTGTGAATAGTTGTTAATTTCATTCAGTTTCAAACCTTCATAAATATCACTTAATTGCAAACCATCCAATATTTGACCTCGCATCAATTTGTATGCTAAAAATTTTATCAATATAAATTTCTAAATTTAAAATTCTCGACTATTCGCTATTTTACATCTGAGATTTCACAACTTTTCCATTAAGTAAATTATCATTTTTCAAGAAGTAAAATAAACTAACAGCAATTATAATTAAGTTTTCAATTGGGTAATTAAATTAGGAGTAGTGTCACTAATAGATCTCACAGATATTAATCATTAATTATTTAGCAAAAATACACTACTATTCTTCTTTTTTTTTTTTTTGCACTGCTCAAAAGAATATTCAGAAATTAATTTAAATTTAATTAAAGAAAAAACAATACATATAAAATCATATGAAATTAAGTAATCAAATTATAGAACAAAGAATACCTGAATGATTAGAGAATTGTACCGAATTAATCGGATCCACTTCATAACCATGTAGCTAAAATGTCATTCATTTTAATTTAACTTAATTATTGATTTTTTTTTTCTTTGCATTTCTTTAATTAAATTAAAACTTTTGTTAAATATATTCATTAAAAAAAATTTTTTTTAAAAAAAAAAAAAGAAAAGAAATTAAAAACCATAAAAATAGATTACAATTTACATTTCTTTAATTAATTTAAATTTTTTTGTTAAATATATTACGAAAATTTTTTAGAAAAAAAAAAAAAAAAAAAAAGAAATTAAAAACCATAAAAATAAATGAATGAATTTTGTTAAAACAATTAGAATGATAGAAAAAATTTTTTACCTGCATTGGAAATACACTACATTTATTGCCAGCATATCCATGTATCACATGACTTTGAATTGACAAAATACGACGATCAACTGGTGGATTATTTTCAATATGTTTATAAATTGTGTGAGATATTTTGTTTTCCATAATGCATTGAAAATTTTACACTTAAAACATTTAAAATATTTGTCAAAAAAAAAAGAAAAAAAGAAACTGAAATAAATTTTTGATATGCCATAAGAAAATTTGTATTAAATTCGTAAGAATTTGTAAACTAAAGATTATTCTATTTGAATATTCCTTAAACATATATAAAACAATTTTTTAAATTTTTAACTAAGAAATTATTTATCTAAGTACTCATCTCAAAGCATATATGTGCACTGTATTAATGCAAATTATTTCCCTCTAATTTTATTCTTTGGATCTTTCACTTTGATAGTTAAAATGTTAAAGCATTGTAAACTGTTTGTTCAGTTAGCTTTCTTTGCTATGACTAATCCTGATTGTAATGTTGAAATTATCGTTGAGGTCATTTAATCTCACAATCACTCTTATATCTCTATAAAGAGCAAACATCATACGAGAGTGACAACTCGCATTTATGCGCTTTTGACGTAAGCTTAAGTGCGCTATATATGAAAGCACTACTAGTGTAAGCTTCGATTTCTTAGTTAAATCACTTTCAATAAATGATGGCTTATCAATTATTTATTATTATTACTAATTTATTATTATTATTATTAATTATTACTATTATTACTATTATTAATAATAATAATAATCACTGTTACTATTATTGATTACTATTGCTATTATTATCATTATTAATTATTATTATTATTAGTTATTAATTATTAATTATTATTTATTATTAATTATCATTATTGTTAATTATTAATTATTATTATTATTAATTAATACTATTATTATTAAGAGCGATATTATATGGTATCGTAAAAAAACGAAACTATTGTGAAGTTATAAAAACAATAAGAATACCTATTAAAATTTCCCCTCCTCTCCCAAAAAAAAAAAAAAAAAATACTGAAAAAAAAAAAAAAGGTAAAAAAGGTAATCAGTAAAGAATATTCAGATTAGAGATAAAATTTTTCAGCAAATTAAATCATCACTTAAGTATATTGGAAAGTATCATCTAATCGCACATATATAATTATATTCCAAATATTCTCATCAAAATAAGCTAAATTCCTTCTTTATTATTTAATCAAAACAATGATATCTTTGAAAAAGCCAAAATTATAACAGTATTTCGTCAACTATAATCAATAAAACATAATAATTCTAAATCTATAACCAAATGAAAAAACTTCAAGCAACTCTACGTGATAAAATAATGAAGTGAATATTAGAAATTAAATTATTGGACTTTTTCATTTAATTGAATATAAAATGGATGAATGATGGATTTATATTTAATTTGGTATATTAATGATTATAAAATAGTGATGATGATGATGATGATGATGACAGCATAGATGAAAGGAAATGATGAGTGCTTGAATTCACTTCAAAAACAAATGGAAATGACAGCTATGAAAGCATCTAGCTAATAGGCTTAAAATTTGTTTTCATTTCTATATTTTAGCATTTGTATGCTAAAGAGAGAGTAGCATAAGTTTAGATATTACATTTGTATAGTGAAGAAAATAAATTGATTATGGTGATAAATGGAAATGAAATTATTCTCAGAGTTTAGTTTAGAAAAAGAAATCAGTGATGGAATAATACTTTGAATCATTAATGTTACATGAAAAAAAAAATTTTGAAATTAATCTATTTGAAATTATAAAATCAATGACGATGTATATATAGTGATTGTCAAGATGCACTCAACTGATAAAAACATTATATTTGTTAATAATTTCAAAATTATATGACAATAAATATCAAAAGAAAATGCTTTATATAAATTACACCATATCGAAAAAAAAAAAAAGTCAATTTTATTTACACATTAATTTTCGGAAGACAATTTTCGTTAAAAATTTTACCTTTGTGTCGATGAAGACTTCTTGCGAAGCTATATTATAATAAACTTTTAAAACAAGAAACAATCCAGTTTTTCGCAATCAGTCAAAATATACCAATAAAAATTTCAAAAGAGAGAAAAGGTCTTTTTTTTTTTTCTTTTTACAATATTTTTAATGAAAAAGTTCACAGCGTTCTGACATGTGCAAAGATGTTACAAATACATTTTACAAAACACAGTTCCTGTAACTGTATAAAGAGAAACACTTTTTCAGCTGTAAATGTTTTAAAAAAAAAAAAAAAAACCAAAGTTAAAAATACCAAGTAAAACTAATATACCAATAACTCTTATACAAAATTTCGCATAGGCTAGAAACAATGATAAAGAAGTGAAAATAAACTAGCATCAAATTAAAGAATTTTCAAAAGAATACTAGTAGTATTTGAAATTTTAATACTGAAAGTATTTAAAATCTTAAAAATATTATTAGTGAACTGAAGTGGAAAATGTTTGATAAGTGGAGTTGTAAAAATTCTCCAAAAAAATATGTAATATGTACTAGTGTGTATCATTATGCAGTACATAATTTACAAAACATAAAATTGAACAAATTTTACGAATTACAAAATTGCTAATGCTAAAAGATTTTACCTAATAATGCAGTCATGTGCAATTAATAATAAGATTATGTATCGTACAGAAAGGTTAATTGCAATTTTTAAAAAAAAAAAAAAAAAAAAGAAGCTTAACTTTTATAATCAATTTTTTACTTCTTTTATAAAAAATTTTTACCATTACAATAACATAATAAGCAGTATTCCGACTTTGTTTTGCAAATTACATCTTAAAAATTATTAGTAACTCTGTAGCAGACAACTCTTGATACCAACTTATATAGTGTTTATTGGAAATTGAAATGATATGAAAGGAAAGAAAACAGGTTTAGGAGTTTCTTTAAAAAGTAATCATCTATTACTTATTAAAGATTGAAAAAACAAGGAACAATAAATAATAGACTTAGAAATGATAATAACATTAAAAATGACCAAATAATGCACAACAAATCCAAATCCAATAAAAGCTAGAGTTACAGAATGCTTTAAAAACTCATGCAATTTCAAGTTCACTCTTGTGTAATTTTCAAATTTATGCATACAAGTTGTCATTATTTCATTATCAAAAGGTTTCAAGTTTTCGAAATATGAATAAACAACAATTTATACTTTTATCAGCGGTGAAAATTATTGAAAATACAACAGTTTAACACAAGACACCATTATAATAATTAATAAATGAGTCACCCGTAGAAAAAAGGAGTAAAAAATCAAAAAACATTACAGAAGGACTGGATCACTATTAAATATTCGCGAAGTCGTTGGTTTTCAATGTAATTAACGTATCCAGTCTTTCCCACCCGATAAAGGAAGGAAAAAAAAAAAAAAAAAAAACGGCACAAATTACAAGCAAGAAAAAATTCATCCTTATTGACAAAAAAAAAAAAGAAAATGAAAACTGAACTTAAATTGTAGCTAATTATAAGGACTAGAAAATGTTTTACACTATAATATATAATAAGACCTCATAATTCATCCTTGTACAACAACGAATAACGCGTTTCCGATGGTTTCAACTGCTTGAATATGCTCGTTGGTGGTTGCGATTTGTCTGTTCCTTTCGTTTCCTAAAATTTGAATGAAATAATACTCATACAAATGTGAAATAATTTTCTGTGAAATCTATCTTTATAATATGGGAATGTTAAATCCAAAATAATGTCAAAGTAATGTTTGGTGTTGAAATTTTATAGCATAAAATATAATTTTTGAAGTAACTGAAGAGACTAATACTACTATTAAAATCCAAAAATCCTGACAACTAGTATCACAAACTTATTTCAACAAAGTTACATTATGCGTTCTGCATTGAACAAGGTATTCATTAAAATTTTAACAGATTTCATTTCCAGAAGGTATGAAGCGATTATTGCAGATATCAAGATGCACAATGCTATATCATATTTCAGAAAGTAAAAAAAAAAAATGAAAATGATTACATTTTCAAAGATATGTGGTGGGAAATCAAAAATGTTACGGATGGGCGACTGTAAATGATAATAAATAATTGATATTTTTAGTGAAAGAGGTACTATACTAAAATTTTGACTTACTTGTGTCGGTCACTTATTTCGATATAAGTGAAATAAATTCTTACTTTTTCAAATGTAGTTTCAGACGATGCTGGTAAGACAGAAGATTGCGTTGGATCAGGACTGTGATGAAATTCTCGATGCAATTTTCCCGAATGTAAATCCAGAACAAATTGGCGCAATTTTCCAGGCACGCTACAACAGTGAATTAATAGAATCGACTTATTAAAATGAACCTTTCCTAGCATACAAAAATCTGAATTTCTAACAAATTTTCACAATTCTTTTACATTTGGAATATTCTCCTTAAAATACAACATACGTTAGTGATTTCATATCCGGGAAAAGATACATATGACGGAAGGAATCTATTGCAAGCACAGGCAAGTCTTCCATTGTTTTACCAAGATGCTGCAGAGGATGTACAAATTTCTTACCATCGGCATATAAACAATTAATACTAGCTGCAAAACAAAATTTAAGAAGAAAATAGGCGTAATTTATGGCAAAAGAATTGACAAAATTGAGCAATGTAAATGTTATTCAAAATTGAAGAAATTAATTTCAGTCTTGAAATCACTGATTACTGCAGCAGTATATTAAAAACTGAATCATATTCATCTTCCCTCTAATACCTTTTCTGTTCATCCTCTGAATAATACGGACTGTTAAACCCAAAACACAGGAATGAGCAATAGCGTTAATCCAATCAAACACTTTCAGCTACAAAATTTTCGAGAAATTTTTAATTTCCTTTCTCATATTCCATTTTAATTTGAAATGCTCACATTTTTGGTCAAAAAGTTCACGAGCAACTTGTTCCGTGAAAATTTTATCAATTTGTACATCATCTGGATGACGAAACAGAATAAGGAACGGAAGGCCTTCTTCTGTCAATTCTTCAGCGTTTTCGAAAGTTATTTCGCGAACAAGCGGCACACATTTATCCATTATCCATTGCCTAAAATAATAACTAAAAAATTGGAGAACATTTAGGACATAATTTTGTAACACAACAGCTAAACTTTCCAGTAAAATCTTCATTGTTAATCTAAAAAAATTATTCACAAACTTTAAAGTCTCAAGATTTGCAAGTCCCCCAGTATATTCAATTCTTTCGTTGCTCTGAAAAAAGTCTGAATTAGGCCATTATTTCATTATAGTACTCAAAAATTACATTGAAAATTTTAAATGTTTAGACATGGAAAGATAACTGAAATTTCGACTATATGTAAAAGTTCAAAACCACAGCCAAAAGAGACAGCTATTGCCGAACTTTTCTGAATAGTTATGAACAGCCCTGTTTGGCACAATCACTCTGTACAAGAGAGCTGTTTTAATCTTTTTAGAGATCAAAAAACAAGCTAACATTTAAAGGCCTAAATTCAAGTCTGTTGCCCTTCGCTAGCTCAGGTCGGAAGGCTTCGCCAATACCGAACCAAAATACACAATCATCTCGAAGTAGGGATGCAACTTTGCGATAATTGTCAAATTCTGGGCCAGATGGCTGATCAAAATAAGCTACGATGTTAAGTTTCTTCGGCTGCAATATAAAAAAGTAGTTTGAAAAATCACAAAATAATCTTTGTAATGGATAATTGAAGAAGCTAAATGCAAAAGTTCATCGAAATGTACTGTGATGATAACTTACATTAATCTGATTATTTAGTTCAGCATTTGATGAAAAATTCTGCATGCCTGATACCAACTGTTTGTCAATAAAGACTGCTAAAGCATCAACAGATCGTTGTCCCCTAAAAAAAAAAAAAAAAAAAAAAAAAACGAACAATTTAGAAACAACCTCAAAGCTATATATATTCAGTGTCAGAAACAATCTTGCAGTTATTTCCGAAATAAGTAACTCAAGTGAATAAATACGGACGGAAAATCAATGAAATGAATAAGCACAAAATCATTTTGTCATTATATTGCATAATAACCTTACCTGTATTCTTTCTTAACAAGTTCACCACCTCGAAACAGTTTTAGTGTTGGATATTTGCTTACGTGATATTTTTGAGCAATATCAGCTGAAATCAAATTCAATATTAAAATGTTAAACATCGAAACAATTATTTCAAATAAATTATATCTTAAATAGCCTACCTTCTCTGTCACAATCTACTGTAGCCCACGCGACTGTATTTCCTCGATCCTAGAATGTTTTTACGTAATAAAAATTGGACAATAATTAACAGCTATCAGTATGATTATTGATCTTACACTACATTACTCATGCTAGTATCAAAAAACAAAGAAGTAACAAGATCCAATACAAAAGAGCAACTTCTCATATTAATAACACAAATATTTTAAACAGACCATTACAAAATTATATATATATATGTAGAATAGAAATTACATATGAGTGAAATACTACTAGAAAAAAACTCAATACTCAGTAATAATAAAGGACTGACCGTGAATCGCTTACTGGCTTCTTCAAATATTGGCATCAAATGTTGAGAGAATCGACACCAATCAGCATAAAAATTCACAAACACTACTTCATAATCATCTGCAAAATGTATGTTCGAAAGATTTCTTAAAAATTTCTTTCTTAAGATTAAACTTTTAGAAAATTAAGTGAATTTTAGAAAACCACCTGAATTGCTGAAATAATATGAAGTTACTTAGGAAATAAGCAATTAAGGTCATTATATTCACAATAGCTGAATTGAACGAATTACTGCTCTAACTCTGTTATCTATTTAGATTACAATTTAAATATTCCCATATTAAACAGACATTGTTCGTTCGTAATTAGTAGTCTACAAAAGTATGCAATAATACAATAAAAGGATAGCCTTAAATTAGAATATTCGAAGAAACTTACGAAGTACTGATTCAATGTTAGCTCCATTCAATGGAATGACAAGACATCTTGTTACTGAGAGCGAACATATCTGAAACATATTCATAATTTGAAAACTGAAGAAACTAATTTTTAAGAAATAGCGAAAACGGTTAAGTAAATAAGAATTTCGCTAGTCTAAATTGATTCAGATCTTTGCCGAGTATAAAATTTTATTAGAGCAGTGCATAAGAAACAAACAATATTCTTTATCTTTTAAAACTCTTTTCATAGAAATACACTAAATAACTTTGTAATGAGAGACGAGTAAATCAAACCATGATTTGCCACCTTTTTTTTTAAAATAAATCTTCGTAAGCTTGCTTTAGAAGGTTTCCTTTTGAATTAGTCATATTTATTATAATTTAATTGCACTGTTTAATAAAAAGTCACCATTAGAAATAGCGACAAAAAAATTCGTGAAGTAGTTTGATTCATATCCAGGATTGTTTTGCATGAGTGCATATTTTCACCCACGACAAAACCCACGTCACAAGAGTCGACCGATCCACGCACTGTTTCCTAAAAATAAAATTTCTATCATTTCAAAGTAAAATTAGAGATGAAAAAAGTTATGCAGAGCATTATGTGAAAATTATAAATGTTTTTCCCACAAAGTCCAGCATTCATCTCAACATTAAGCGTTTGTTGGCGCTACTATAATTATTTATCACAGTTGAAACCACTGACAATCATATTTTAATCAAATTTTTATAAAATGTAATCAATAAAACGGTCATTTTCTTCATGAATGAGTTACCGAAATCTACTTAAATTTAACAATTCTTTTAATCAAACTATCAACAGAGCTGCTAGAGCAATAAATCCTAAATTCTTTTTTAACTTTGGTCTCTCAGTCTGACTTTTCTACTTTTCAAAATTCCAAACAAAAAAAAGAAAGACTTGATTCATAACATATATTAAAGTCCAATACTAATATTGCATATTAAAGTACTGTATATTATATATATATTATATATATATATATATTATATGTTGAAGCATATTAAAATTATATATGGTATATAAAATTATATGTATTGTATATTATATTATATATTTCTACCGTATACCAAAAGTTGATCTATCTCACTATGCAGTGCGAAAAACAGCCGTCAGAAGGGATAACCGGAATTTCTTGAATGTAACAGAAACCGGAGGTCACCCACTAAATAACCGGAATTACCTGAATGGAACAGAAACTGGAGGTTACCCACTAAATAACCGGGACTACCTGAATGTAACAGAAACTGGAGATTATCCACCAAACAACCATAACTACCTGAATAGAACAGAACCGGAAATTATCCGCTACGTCACCAAATATATAGTGGTATGGTCTTTGAAGAGGATTTGAGCCATTATGAAATTTGTTATTTCACTTTTACAATTGAACAATTGTCCGAGAAATGCCGGAGTGATTGATTCAGTGCTACAATTGAAATACGATTGTAAAACTGAAAAATGAAGAAAAAGTGGGCGAGATGGAGGTTAAATTTAAATTAAATTAAAATAATAATAATAAATTCTATTTATTATTATATAAATAGTTATATTAAAAATTTCAAAAACAAACAAACAATTTAGATGAAATATGAAAGAAAAAAAAGAAACATTGGAATAAAAGAATTTTCTCTTTTTCTTTCCTTTTCTCTTCTCTATTCTTCTTCGTTTTTAATATACAAAATGTTATTTTGTTACAATCATACATTCATCATTTTAATATGTAATAAAAAAATGTTATTCATTCATTCATTCATTCATTCATTCATTCATTCATTCATTCATTCATTCCATTTCATTCATTCATTCCATTTCATTCATTCATTCCATTTCATTCATTCATTCCATTTCATTCATTCATTCCATTTCATTCATTCATTCCATTTCATTCATTCATTCATTCATTCATTCCATTTCATTCATTCATTCCATTTCATTCATTCATTCCATTTCATTCATTCATTCATTCATTCATTCATTCATTCATTCCATTTCATTCATTCATTCCATTTCATTCATTCATTCCATTTCATTCATTCATTCCATTTCATTCATTCATTCATTTCATTCATTCATTCATTTCATTCATTCATTCATTTCATTCATTCATTCCATTTCATTCATTCATTCCATTTCATTCATTCATTCCATTTCATTCATTCATTCATTCATTCATTCCATTTCATTCATTCATTCATTCATTCATTCATTCATTCCATTCATTCATTCATTCATTTCATTCATTCATTCATTCATTCATTCATTCATTCATTCATTCATTCATTCATTCATTCATTCCATTTCATTCATTCATTCCATTTCATTCATTCATTCATTCATTCATTCATTCATTCATTCATTCCATTTCATTCATTCATTCATTCATTCATTTCATTCATTCATTCCATTTCATTCATTCATTCCATTTCATTCATTCATTCATTCATTCATTCATTCATTCCATTTCATTCATTCATTCATTCATTCATTCATTCATTCATTCATTCCATTTCATTCATTCATTCATTCATTCCATTTCATTCATTCATTCATTCATTCATTCATTCCATTTCATTTAACAGTGATAAAATTTAATTCAATGTACAATATAACTTTTTTCAAGCTTACGTATCATTTCAATCGTTCTATTTGTATTTTCTATCATTTTCAAATACACAAAATTTACTTACCTATAAGATACTACCATAACAAACAAACAACTCACAGTAAGTAATTAAATAATTAAATAGTCATCTCAATTTAAATTTATCTTTTTTATATTATATTATGTACAAATATAAATTTGTTTTTAACTGATTTATTCAAATATACATTAAAATTTATAATCGAAATCATTTCCAACATTTCTTAAGTATATCTTTTCAAAATATTTCTTACATTATTTAAATTATTTAAATTTTTTTAAATTAATTCTTCAAAATTTATGCTTATGATAATATATTTAGTAACCTAATAAGTATATGTCACTTGTCTCATCGAAGATTTGAGCAATTTTAGAAGACATTACCGCTCCACATTGGAATTATCTATGTTGGAGATCGAATATACTTCATCGTTTTGTTTAAATTTACTTCCTTTTACTCATTTAATACTCAGATTAATCATGAAAATTTGGAAGTAATACTTTGTTTATCACTAATAAATTTATTTATATGGAACAAATGTGACTTAAAACAAATATTGCTAAAAAAAAAGTTTGTAATTTCAAACTTTTCGGTTTATTTTTCTCTATTTAATTGCTTATTTAATGATCTTTTTTCTTTCTTTTTTTTTTTTGAAATATTCAAAAAAAAAAAAATATTTGAAAATATTTCAGACAGATTATTAATAGCTTTTGTGATTATAGTGATTCAAAATTGCAATAATAGAACAACTGTTAAGGTCATACTTTAGTTTTTAATCCTAAATGTAATAAACGGAAGGAAATAAGCAAAAAAAAAAAAAAAACAAAGCGAAATGATTGTGGTTGAATTGATGATAAATTTCTCTGTTTGCACACTGCTAAAAATTTATCTCAATAAATTGTGCGAATTTTCTAGAAATTTACAAATTTCAATTTAAATGCTATAACTTTGCTCATTTGAGCAGCTGTGAATTTCATCATTAATATATCGCTAAATGAGATAATTTTTCAATTTAACCAAACAAAATTTCAATTAAGACCAACTTGTTTAGCGTAAATTTCATTTTTAATTTAAATTTATTTCTTTTAAAATTTAGCTTTTGTAAATTTTGCTTTTCTGTAAATGAATAAATTTGCCTGTCACTATAGAGAATGGATTACAAACTTTGTCTCGGAACATTGCATTTAAATCTTTTGAAATTTAAATTTAAATGCAATTTATTCTATTTGTTCAATCAAATGAAAATTTTTGTTTTTTTTTTTTTGGTTTTATTTTCAGTTATTCAAATTCTAAAACTTTTATTTCTGTTATTTAAATTTCTAGTTTTCTCGAATGAACAATTCATGAAATACACTTTTCTTATTTCAGAAAAGAACATTTAAAAGATGAATGGACTGTCGTACAGTAAACAAAAATGAGTAAATAAATAAGATATGATAATGTGATAAGATCAATTCTTCAAATACACACTATCAGAAAACAGGAAACAAATAACAGGAAAAATCACATTAATAATTATAATCTTTTGTTTGATAACAAAAAAAACTATGAGCATTCAAAATGTCACAAAATATAATCATTAATTGGTTATATTTGTTTACTTTATTCGATCAAATAAGCGTCAATAATTTAAATTTTGAATGTGATTAATGAAATTAAACAAAAGCTGTACAACATTAATAAAAATACAACTAAAAAGAGATTTCCAAGTTAAATTAATTGAAATTTATACAGCATCTCCCATAGAATTTGATTACAATTTGCAGTAAAAATTCATCTCTGGAAATCTTAATTTTATTTTTAGCATAATAACATTCAAAAATTGAAAAGCTGTCAATCTTACAATGTATTATTAGACTTTAACACATTTTTACTTTATTAAATTTAAATAATCTGTTAATTATTAAATAAGTCAAAGATCATTAAAAAAAAAAAAGAAAAAAAGAATGCATGAAATTCTTTAAAATTAAAAAATTAACGAAATATTTTTGCTATAAACATCGATAAATAAATGCATATAAATGATTTAACCATGCTTCCACACGAATTCGTCGATAACCTCGTTCACATTTACAGAATAGAAATGTCTGAACTATAGTTGTTAGAGCTTCACCGGATTCATGAATCCGTCCGATAACACGGATTAAACTTCGTGTTCCATGACAGGAATGTCTAAATATATTATCCACTCGATCACAAAATATCAACGTAATCATTTCATCCAATTTAATAATATTTTCTTCTTCTAAACGGCATATTGTATCATTTGAACATTCACAAATTCTTTCACCGGTTATATTAACCGTTTTTGAAAAATTGAATACATGTGTGGGTGTAAAAAATTCATCATATAATGGAAAATCATTCATATTTGATTCGAAATTCGTTCCGGATGTTTCATCTAGCCTTAATAACGGATAAGAATGAAGTTGCGCACCGCAAGCCATTTCGGGTTCAGTGCAAGTACCAATAGCAAAAATAGTTTTTGAATAAAACAGTAGTAAAAGAATGACAATTAATTGAATTAATAGGCGTAATTGACGGAAGCGTAATGATTCAACAATTGGTAGTAATTGAAATATGCCAGCTAAACTGTTGTTGATAATTAAGACTTGCCGCAACATAGCAATAAAAAACAACTGTTCCGCACTGGATGCTATTTTTGCTGGTGGTGATGACTAACGGAATGAAAACGATGATTTTAAAACTTGAACAAGTGGTTGTTGCAACAGCAATATAATAGTAGCAATAAAAGTGAGTAAGGCGGTACGGTAATCCGGCAGGAAGCGTTTGAAGATTTATGGATAGATTAGATAGATAGATAGATAGGTAGCTCACATTGGGTGGAAAATGTGAAACAAATGAATTAATGATTTTTTGTTCAGTTCAATTTAGTGATCTAATATTGATATCTCCTTCCCTTCATTTTTTTTTTTTTTTTTTAGCTCATCAAATAAATTGCTTTCCTGATTTATCTCATAGGGCAATAAATTTGATCACTAAAAATTTACAAATACCACAAGTTGTACATCATTTATTTGACGTAAGTAATAGCTCAGTCTACATCTCGTATTCTTTTCTTCTGTTGGATTCAATTACGAATTAACTTTTTTATTTCACCTGTTATTTTATTTTATTAAAGTATATTTAAATGCGCATATGCGCAAATGAACACCATGATTTTTAGTTGTGGACTTAATCTAAACCTTTCGTTACTATCATATCCTCAAATCATTGGATGAGCTGATGATATTCATTATTTTGCAATGTTATCGAGAAACTGAAAACTACCCAAACATCATATTCAAACATACGTGTAAGACGCTACATACACACGTATATTTAATTACAAAGACTGAACTGCTTTTATTGGATTGCTTATGTATTGAGAAATAATATCTTCATTCAATAAAAGTATAAAGGATCTATCAATGTACAGTGCGGAAACCAAACAATCCGTAATTCCGCCACAAACAGAAGGAAAAAGCAAAAAAACATTCAATATGAGTGAAGGAGAAAGAGAAGGAAGAAAAAATAATCGAAAGGTTGACTTCTCCTTTCACAAAGCGTCAAATTTCCAAACTTCAGGCGTGTAAATATCGAAGCCAACGTTTCTCAAATCTAAAAAAAATCTATAATTCAGACCTGAATCTCCTTCCGTTCACCCAAACTCTGTTAATTTACTAGATAGTTACCAAATTACAAAGCAAATCAAAACAGAAACTCATAGGTGCACCGAGATATGAAGGGCCATCTGGCCATCGCAAAATATTCACTGGAAATAAACTGAAAATTTGACATCTAAAAATCCCTGATATTTGGTAGGTTAAAGATTTGTAACACAATGAATAAAGAATTTCTTAAAATTACCCTCGAGGCGCTTCTATCGCTGTGCACAAAACAACACCCGGAGAAATCGGAGAAAGATCAAAAACCGGGTTTGATTTGGACTATAAAAAAACTTAAGTTTCAGAATTTAAAACTTTGGAAACATTAATCCAAAAATGCACAGATAGACCACATACAATTAGTGAAACTTTACCTAACATAAATGAAAGTAAGTAAAACGGACCAAAACAAAAGTATTACAATTGAAAGATTATTCATTATCCTATTATACAATTAATGAACCCATAAGGTTAAATCATTGAACTGACGCACTAGCATTGCATCTTCTCCTCAGAAGTATAAAAACTGAAGATTCAGTAAAATTTGGAACTTAACAAATTAATTTGTTTCTTGAAATGCAACGATGGAATAAAGACTATAAAGGTTTCTTTAGAGGTGCCATGCCTACTATAAAAACAAAAGTGCCACCAAACACAAAACATTATTATCACTCGTAAATTTCAAAAGTCTACCAAAAATTTCCCAAATCTTACTAGAACAAATAAGCAAGGTTAATTATTTGCATCCTAAGCATCAAGTTAAGTGAAATTTTCGAGGTTCCCTTTAGCAAATATTCATGACTTTTCCTCAATCACAAAAAGTACACAATAGAAAGACTTGAAATACAAAAATCTTTCTAAAAAAAAATAAATTCGATTAAAAACCATATAATATGATGCAATAGAAAGAAAAAAAAAAATTATTATACCGACATAGGAATCGCAATGTTTACCCTCAGTTCATAAATGCATCATGATAAATTCCTAGGGATGGGGAAGAGAGAGAGAAAACAAAAAGAGGACAACATTGCTATGAAGTGAATTTCTAGTCGTTCCACCCATAATACTTAAGCTGTGAACCTCCAGAAATCATGTTCCACTCCTTCTGCACAATGTTTTAGTAGTGTCGTACGTCTCTGTTCCACGTAACGATACTTATCTTGCACCTAAAAGAATGGACCATAAAATTAAAAATAGGCCATCTACCAAGTTGCAAAATTATCAGTGGATCGCATTTAATGATAGTAATACGACCCTATATTCTTATAGAGTCACACATTTTTTTGTCACATCCACACATTTTCTGAATCAGAGAGTCAAGTGCGTCTCTAAGAAATTCACCTTGACAGCTGCTGATAGCTCGAATTACTTCCTGCCTGTTTTCAACTATTTCACAGTTACTGCTTTTGAGGAACAGTGGGCCTACAAACAAGATAATACCTTTTGTTTTAGACTAACGAGATTTTCATGATCTAGATCTCTTTCTAAAAACTCCGACAGCTGTTCGGTGGCATGCTCCAGATCACGCTGATTCTCTTCAAATATAACCGACTGGTTATCTTTTTGTAAGTAAAACGCAAATGCATATGTGTACATCAGCGTACGGCGACATTCCGAAAGGACATCGACCGCTTTACGTAAAAACTGCACCTCGATCCAGGACATATTTGCTTGCTGCATAACTTCCATTTTGGATTTTACAATTGAATAGAGCTGAAATAGGCGAATTATAAAACCAAAAAATTAACTAGAAGACTCACATGAATATAATGAATCTTCGGAAATTAGCTATAATTAAAAAAAGGAATAACACTTTTGCTCCTTTATTTTTATCAAAAGCAACATAGGGATTAACCGGTATCTATCTTTCATAGTATCTCTCGAAAACAATTAAATGTTGTTCATATCTATCCGAAACTTCGTGCTTTTAATTGTAAGTAACATTTTAACATTTTCTACACACTCACTTTATGTTCCAGTTTTAAACTTTGTTGATGATTCATGTATCGATTGTAATAGTGCAAGTATCTTTGAAGTGCAGCGCGACTTCGTTCTTGTGCATCACGTGCTTGTTTTGCCAATGTATCATCATATCTGTTACAGGAATACCATGAACTGCCATGTGGTTCCCACGGGCCAAGACACATCCAACAAAATTCCATTTTACAAGCTACATTCTTACATGTCATATGGTTACATCCACCATCCTTTTCTATTGTCACCTATAAAAAAAAAATTCTTTGTTTAAAAAGCTAAGCTTTTTATCCATGCTCCAATAATATTCTAGAATATAGATTTAAGTTTAAGTTGGAAGTGAAGGAAACGCAGAGACAAACAGGCCTTACAATCTTAAAATAACGATTCGTACTTCAAATTTCCTGAATTTTTCAAATATCGAAACTGCTATATATTCCTTCAGAAGCTATATACTTTCGACAGTTCATACAAAGTTATGGATTTATAACTAATGCCAGTCACTGAGACATCTCATCAGAAAAACTGGTCAGATCAAAATGAAAAAAAAAAAAAAAAATCATCTGAACTTAAAGTAAATGTTTAAACTGCTGAACAAAATAATTTACCTGGCATTTGGGGCATTCTTTGGTATTCGCTGATATCCAATTGCTTGTCTCACTATCATCATTACACTTCTTAATCCATAGCTTCAGAAGTCTACAATTAACAGGTTCGTGCCATTCGTGTCCACATGCGAAACAAAAAACTGTACCACAAGTACATTTGACGGGACGCGCTTCTAAATGTCCTACTTCAATAACACGTCCACAGTCAGCAGCTGGGCACCAACGCAACAAACGATTACACTGAAAATGAATAAATAAGAGAAATCAATTCAAATAATCTTCCCTCTAGAAATCAGCAAACCTTTCCCAAAAACTTCACTAAAATATCTCCCTGTAATGTAAGTGTAGCAAAAGCTTCGACGCTGAAGCATCTGTAAAAAAAAAAGATGCTATAAATCATACAAATATTGTTCTGCATGCAAACTAATATTCAGATAAGATTTAGATAAGCACATTGGACAAATGACTATGAAATCTTAAAGACTTATAAAATACCTCAACGAAACTATTGATTATGAGACGACGATATCTTTTCTTTGCATTTTCGCTTTTCACCAACGCCAAAGTTTTCTCGTCATCAACTATGATTGGACAATTATGTTGAGGACAAGCTACATGTGCTCGACCTTCCTCCATAATCTGAATTTAAATGACAAATCTCATCTTTTTTTCATGTTTTTTAAAAGATAAATGAAAGCCTAAGTTGACGACAATTTTCAACTAAAATTTTGAATTCTTCATAACAATGTTACACATGTCCAGTTCTCACTCACCTACCTTAGTTGTTAAATAGGAATCCCAACATGGATAACAGAAACGATGACTGCACTGCAAGCCTGTTAAAATGGTACGATTACAGCAGATGACACAAGTATCAACAATATCTGCAAGTCCTTCATCACCACGGCGTGCCACTTTAAATGGTGAAATGATGTTAGCATCCAAGAAAAAGGAATCCATATCAGTGCTTTCATAAAACCTTCAATGTTTTAGAGATCTTAGAAGAATGAAAAGGACAGTAAAATTGAAATTTTATTCAAATATGAAACATAAAACTTTGAGAAAAATCGTGGTAAGAAACTAGAGTTACAAATTTTTAACGAAAAAAATTCTAAAGCAATTCGCAGAATTGTCGCATACCTTTCTAGTAAACTTTCTTTATTCCACTTATAATGATGTAAAAGCAATCTACAGATAGTAGCCGATAAACGCAACACCGATGCAACATCCTCTATGATTTTATTCATTTCAAAAGTTACTTTTTCAGCATCCAGAACCTACAAGAACTTTTTTCAGTAAATTATTCAGAAATATACAACTGATAATGCTTCAGATTTTTTTTTTTTTTTATGCGTGTTACTTTATACTCACTACCAGACAGTTCAGTCTTGTCCCAAAACGTTATTGATTAGCAGTATCGACGATAAAAACGTGAAGTAACCAGCATATTTATATATTTCACCTTTCTAGTATTTAATAAATAATTATTGTGACAGCATTTTTTAGGAAGGAAAACATCTTACAATGCTCCTTTGCTAAATGCTAAGTTTTAGTTACAGTCCTAAACACTGCAGTGCATAAAGATCAACTAAAATTTTGAAAAAACTTGGGGAGTTTAATTATTTCTAGGCTTTTCCTTCAGTTCGAATAATTAAAAATGGAAGAGGAGAACGGGAGGAAACACTGCAAAAGTAAATATAAACTAAAACCAATCAATAAGTAATGTTATCATCCTTCATTCCTTGTAAATTACAAATCTGCAAAAATACAAAAGCCTTAGCTTTTCTTCTTGTTTCAACGTTATAAAACTACCTTAAAATCTGAAGAAATTAATAAAAATAAGATTCTGCTCGAAAATTAATCTAAAACTACTTGGCTGTCTTACTACCGTTCGTTTTTTAATGTCCTTGCTGGAAGAGAACATTTTGCTACAATCGCTTATCTCTTCGTGTTATTCGAATTGAAAATTAAGTAAGCCCATTCCCAATTCTAGCGTTTATATAACAGTTAACTGACTTTTGCTAAATAGCCTAATCATAAAAATGAAAACATGTAATTTTACGTTATTGCTATTAACAAATAAGATGACGAATGTTAGTATCACCTATAAACAGTTGTACAGTATGCATTTGCACTCAAAGCAAAAATAATTTACAGTAAGTAATCGCTGACTTTTGCCAAGCTACTGAAATTATACTTCCATGTACTATAAATCTTATCTCTAAGTTAAATTGCTTATCATTTCCTTCCATCAATCACTTTCAACTCCAAATTCATGTCAAAATTTAACAAAACACCTGGAAATCAGCTGATTCACTATCATGACTACCTCCACGTTCCGTCTTGATCACAGGTGGATCCACTACAATACCATCATCATCACTATATGTTGATGTAGCATCACTTTCTGAGCCATCCGAAAATGCACCGTCATCATCCATCGCCTCGTCACTTCCTAGTGACATCCGAGCAGAATCTTTCACTCTTTTCTTTTAACCTTTCTTCCAAACGTTTTCCGTACTGTTTTTTATTTTTATTTTTTCTTTTTTCTTTACAATAGCTATAGAATAATAATCATATAGCTGTTACTGTCTTTTTACACCAATTTCTTTCGTTTTACTCAAAAAGGCAGTACTTCGTGTCACACAAACTGCCCTTTTGTACACAAGCAAATAGCAAACAATGATGCAACACCTGAAATATACTTCATTTTATATGAGATATAATGAACAATAAATCGATAATCTTTCCATAAAAATTACACGTAACATGAAAAAGTAAAAATATCACTTATCCGTAAGAAATTAATACACTGTTAACAGATAACAATAACACATAAAACTGAGAATATTACTTATATACTATGAATAAAAACGTGTATCATTATTGTGATACGTAAGAATTGTCTATTCGACGAAGTGCTATTCAACATTATAAGTCACGTTATTTGGAAGAAGTGACGTATACTGCGTGTTAGATAAGATGAAATGACATTTACGCTTGGTGACAGCTGATGACAACTACGAAATGAAAGGTTAGAGGCCAACAGTAGTAGCAAGGAGAAAAATTCGTCACACACAAACTGAAATTTGTACGGAAACTTCGAACAATACGTTGGAATTAGTTTTAGTAACTTTGTTAAGCAACGATATTTTGTGTTTACTTTTGGATACGTGGAAATGGTTTTAGAGTAATTAGTAATTAATTATTTAATTAGGAATGAAAGAAAAAGATTAATTAAGGTAATTAATTAGAAATGAAAGAGAGAAATCATTGCTAGAATAGGAGAGAAAAATAAAGAATGAAAAAATTGGCAATTAATTGTAGCTTACAATTTTTGTAACACAAATTGAAAGTATTAAAATAAGAAATAACAATAAGTTAGAAAGAAAGATGGAAGAGTTAACTATATAAAATGCTAGTTGAGTTATATATGTAATAATTGAATAAGCATGTTTGAGGAATTATTTTACTGTATTTCAGCATCTACCGGATATATCGAATATATCGAAATCACTCTTCAGTATTAACAAATGTGGTATTTTCAGGAGTATAAATTAACCTGAAATTTGAAATAATGAATCGATGATGTTCGGACAAATTATTATTGGTGCACCAGGTGCAGGTAAAACAACGTATTGTGATGGTATGAGCCAGATTTTGTCACAGCTTGGCCGACCTGTTATATGCGTAAATTTAGATCCAGCAAATGATTATGTACCGTACAAATGTGATATTGATATTCGGGAGCTGGTAAAAGTGGAAGATATCACCAGTCGGCTAAATCTTGGTCCTAATGGAGCACTAAGGTTATTTTGCATATTGCTTGCTATTATGGTGATCGAACAATTGAGGAAAAAATAATTCTTAGTGATTACTCTTGAATTCAGAATGCAGAAGGGAAAAAATTTAACAAAGTTTTTTCCACTTCATAAATCTGTGAAGTTCAGCAAATCTAGCTTTCGATGGTCACATATCATAAAAATAATTAAACATAGAAATAGCTTTTTTGTTCCAAAAATTGCCCACTATTCTTGAGACACATGGTATGGGCATAGTTTAACTTTTTAATGGTTTGAATGATTCTTTTAATGTGCGCTTTTTAGGTACTGTATGCAAACTTTGAAAAAGAATATAGAATGGTTGCGATTGAAGTTGTCGCATGTGGATGGATATTTGCTTTTTGATTTCCCAGGACAGCTTGAGCTATACAATAGTGATAACTGCATCACGTCTATCATACATAGCGTAAGATAACATAGTTTTTATTGGAGTACCTTTTTTTTACTTTTCTTCATACTTCTGTCTTAGCTTCAAAACATTGGTAATAAATTTTAAAAAAAAGGGTGGTATTAATCTTGTATTCTTGTAATTCTTTGATTTCTGGATTTCGTTTGACATTGCTAAGATTCTTGAAAATTCAGCGGTCGAATTCATGAGCTTGTTGCATAATTTTTTTGTAGGAAAACAGTTTAGGGTATTAATAAACTCTTCATTACAAAGAGACTCATCTTCATTATAAAATGTGGAATATATAATAATAAACCGAGCACATACTTTTAGATGGAAAAATGGGGCTACCGTCTAGTCGCTGTGCATCTTAGTGATAGCTTATATTGTTCGGATGCAGGCAAATTTATCTCGGTATTATTAAGCGCACTTTCTATCATGATAAACTTGGAATGTGCCCAAATCAATGTTTTATCAAAGCAGGACTTACTGAATGATAATGATTTACCATATAATTTCGAGTTTTTTGAACAAATTCCGGATGCGTTACGATTGGTTGAGTTGCTTGATGTAAGTATTCATTCACAAAGATAGCATATTTTTAATGACTGAGCAGTTTCATTTAAAAACATTTCTAAATAGGATAAGGTATTCTCATCATCAAATGTGGATTATTTCCTAAAACATTGGATTAGCAAATAATTAAAAGGAAATCTTCCTATATAAGAGAATTTTTAGGAATCACCAATACTCAAACAGTATAAAGGATTAAATGAAATGCTGTGTTCGGTTATAGGCGATTATGATTTGGTGAAATTTACGGGTTTGGATGTTACATGTAAAAAACACATGCTAAATTTACTAAAATTAGCTGATACAGCTAATGGTTATGCCTTCACCGAAGCGCCTGATCTCAGAAATATTGTACAGCAGTAATATTTATTGCTCTAAGTATGTATTTCTGTGCTATGTCTAACCAAATATAATAGTATTTAATTGTCTGTTTTTATGTTGTTTTTTAATTTTGATTTTACAATATCATTACTGTTAAAATTGTTGGAATTTACTTTATTGTTAAAAAAACTTAATGTGCAGGAGTAATTCATGTTCAGTATGCTTCATTAATTTCTCATATCATTACAAGGAAATTTATAAATTATATATTATTAGCGTTGCATTGTACAGGAATGGTTTATGTTCATAATTTCATCCGTATTTTAACATTTTTACCAGCAGAATATACTTTGTTTCATTGCTATTCAGATGTAATATGAATTGATATATCTGATGTTCATTAATATGCGTACTACAACACAAATGTATATAAAAAGGTGTATTTTATTCAGAAAATTAGCTTAATAGAGGAGAAAAACTATCACAAATTAACTAATTGGTACTTTTCGGGAGTACTAATTGAGACACAAATTTTTTCATAGGCTCAACATAAGAAGGAAGAAATTACTAATTTCGAAATGTCATTTGTGTTTATTAATTAACTCTAACAACTGAAAAAGAAAAATTTTTTTTCTTTTTTTCTCGAGAAAATAATGCTTATCATTTAAATATTATGTCGGATCTTATTTCAGATACCACTGATTTTCAGCATTCGAATATTAAATATCTCAAGTGAACAGTGCTAATATTATTTATCTACCAATGCTATTCATTAGGAATCTAATCAATTTACAATTCTTAATTAAACAAAGGAAAGGTGACTATTCCTGAAAATTATTTCATATAATTTTAACGATTGATTTAGAGGAAATAAATTAACTAGAGAGGGTTAACTTATATTTTTCTTATAACGATCATTTAAATCTTTTATCATTCAATAACAGAGAATATGATCACAATGAAATGTTTTAAATTGTTTGTTATTGTGAAAGAACATCTCCATGTTACGTACGTACTTGTTTGTTATTGTGAAAGAACATCTCCATGTTACGTACGTACTTGTTTGTTATTGTGAAAGAACATCTCCATGTTACGTACGTACTTGTTTGTTATTGTGAAAGAACATCTCCATGTTACGTACGTACTTGTTTGTTATTGTGAAAGAACATCTCCATGTTACGTACGTACTTGTTTGTTATTGTGAAAGAACATCTCCATGTTACGTACGTACTTGTTTGTTATTGTGAAAGAACATCTCCATGTTACGTACGTACTTGTTTGTTATTGTGAAAGAACATCTCCATGTTACGTACGTACTTGTTTGTTATTGTGAAAGAACATCTCCATGTTACGTACGTACTTGTTTGTTATTGTGAAAGAACATCTCCATGTTACGTACGTACTTGTTTGTTATTGTGAAAGAACATCTCCATGTTACGTACGTACTTGTTTGTTATTGTGAAAGAACATCTCCATGTTACGTACGTACAAAAATTTCGAGATGTTATGCAGAGTATAGCAAATTTCAAATAGTACAACGAAAATACATATCAAACAAAATAAAAAATACCAGATTACTCAAAAAATAATCAGAAAAATAAAAATAACAAAGTAAACGAAAGTAAACACAAAACCACAAATAAGTATTAATAAAAAAAAGAACCAAGAAGAAAGATAGTGAAAAGCTGTTCTTTCTTTATCAATTTCAGATTATCAAATAGCACCTGAAATAGATCGGAAACAGGACCTGACCGGAATAATCAACCCTATTAGATTTTACACGACACTGAGATTCTGTCCAAAAATGACGCTCTAATAAAGTTAAAAAAGCAATTCACTGCTACGATTTAGACTTTTTTATACTAAATTCTATTATAGGATAAAAAGATGGCAAATCTCACCTATTTACAATATTTATTTATAAGTCATTTGCCAAAAGAATTTGAAATTGAACCACTGTTAAAATAAGTTAAAGCTCTGTTAAAAAATAAAATTTCACCGTAAGCCAAGGCTCCGGTTGCAATGTCCGGTGAGGTTGATAGCTCTGTTACGGAAGTGTTGCTAGAACACCTTGGATAGGTGAAAAGTGGCAACAAAGAATTCCGTATAAATTATTTCTTATCAGTGATAACAAATAATTTTGTTATTATCGGATAAATTATCTGTAATGAATCAAAAGAGCAAATTATTCAAGATAAATCACCTATTCGTGAATGATAACAGATGATTTGCTTTATACTAAAACAGAATATAATTCTGAACAAATCACTCATTTGTCAGTGATAACAGATTAATTGATAATGCAGAACAAATTATCTCCAAGTGAATTTTAATAACAAATTGTGCAGGTGAATGAATTTTAACAAATTCTTCATAGATCATCTGTAATTTAGTCATAATAAATGATTTGATAAATATTGGACAAATCACTTCCAAATGAATTACAAATTCTGGATTATTTGTTTCAACCATACAGGATGATTTATTATTACTCAACAAATCATTTGCAAGTGGATGGCAACATCCTTTGTAGATCATCTATCTGTTAATCAATGATAAGAGATGATTTGATTAATACTGGACAAATCTTCTCCAAATGAATTTTAATTTCTAAATTGATCATCTGTTGGTCAATAGCAGATGATTTGATTAATATCGGACAACTGACCTGTAAATGAACGGCAACAATAATTAGTAATTTAATTATCACTGACAAATCATTTGCAAGTGAGTGATAACAACAATGTCTGCATTGATCATCAGTAATTTGTGAATTATTTGATTAATATCAAATCATCTGCAAGTGAATGGTAAGATTTTTTTTATAGATCATTTGTTGATCAGTGATAACAGATGATTTAATGAATGCTGGACAAATGATCTGGAGGTAGCAAAAAATTTTAGATTAATCATCTATAAGTTAGTGATAACAGATCATTTGCAAGTGAATCATCATCATTAATTCTGCATTGATTATCGATAAGAAGTGTTAACACATGATTTGATTAATGCTTCACAAATTGCCTGCGTTAAGAAATTCATTATAGATCATTTATGAGTCAATGATTACAGATCATTTGATTAATACTGATTAAGTTATCTATAAGTAAGTGCTGACAACAAATTCTTTATAGATTAATTATAAGTCAATGATAACAGATAATTCGATTAATATCGGACAAATTATTTGCGGATGAATGGTAGCAACAAATTCTGAACTGATCATCTATAAGTCAGTCATAACAAATGATTTCACTATTATCGAACAAATCATCAATTAGTGATAACAACAATTCCGGATAATTTATTAGCAGATGATCTGTTTAATACGAGACAAAAAATCTTTCATTAGTCAATGAAATTAAATAATTCTGGAAAACGTTTCTATTATTCAGTGATAATAAATTATTTGCTTATCATAGAGTTTCACGTTTGAGTTGAAACACTAACTAATTTAAATTCTGCATATATATGGAATATTTCGGATAATTAGATGTGCTGCTTCGAAACTGTCCAGAATTGTCTCCAAAGTTTTGGGTTATCACTAAACATTGCTAATCGTAGCCGAGTAAATTGACCTTAGTTACGTGGTATAGCATTACTTCAATCTATGAAGGTAATTCTTTCATACCTTGCTAACTTAATCATTATACAGTCAATCTTTACTATTACTTATCAGTTTTTATTATTAGTATTAGTTTTTTTTTTCTTTTTTTTTTGTTATTTATTATTTATTAGTTTTTAAATACCTTTACTGTTATCAATCATTTCCATACTTCTCCTTTTTTTTCTTTTCTTGGTTCCTTGACCGCAATCATTTGGATGTATTCCAGCTAAATCCGGTTTTTAGCATCGAGTATACTTTTGTATAAAGTTCAAGAATAATATTATATCCTCGATGATTCTTCTTTTAACGTCATATTCGACTCGTAGCTCTTACTTCAGTAGAAGAGTTCCAGTGTCGCTAAGTTTGACCTCTGACCTCATTGATGAGTTTCTTGGCTGATTCAACTATCATTATAAGTTACTATATATTTTACCTCACTTTTACCACCAAAAAAAAGTTTTTGCCGAGAATTTGTGTGGATTGTTTTGAGAATAGCTTTCTGTGCTGTTATGGTTTGGAGTTTGTGTTCCATAATCGAATCTGTTGCAATGAATTTTATTTATCAACAATTAGACAATAGTATTAATCTATACTGATAATATACTGATAATTTTATAGAGAGTACAGTTATACTGATAATTTTATAGAGATGGAATAGAGAGTACAGTTATACTGATAATTTTATAGAGATGGAATAGAGAGTACAGTTATACTGATAATTTTATAGAGATGGAATAGAGAGTACAGTTATACTGATAATTTTATAGAGATGGAATAGAGAGTACAGTTATACTGATAATTTTATAGAGATGGAATAGAGAGTACAGTTATACTGATAATTTTATAGAGATGAATAGAGAGTACAGTTATACTGATAATTTTATAGAGATGGAATAGAGAGTACAGTTATACTGATAATTTTATAGAGATGGAATAGAGAGTACAGTTATACTGATAATTTTATAGAGATGGAATAGAGAGTACAGTTATACTGATAATTTTATAGAGATGGAATAGAGAGTACAGTTATACTGATAATTTTACAGAGATGGAATAGAGAGTACAGTTATACTGATAATTTTATAGAGATGGAATAGAGAGTACAGTTATACTGATAATTTTATAGAGATGGAATAGAGAGTACAGTTATACTGATAATTTTATAGAGATGGAATAGAGAGTACAGTTATACTGATAATTTTATAGAGATGGAATAGAGAGTACAGTTATACTGATAATTTTATAGAGATGGAATAGAGAGTACAGTTATACTGATAATTTTATAGAGATGGAATAGAGAGTACAGTTATACTGATAATTTTATAGAGATGGAATAGAGAGTACAGTTATACTGATAATTTTATAGAGATGGAATAGAGAGTACAGTTATACTGATAATTTTATAGAGATGGAATAGAGAGTACAGTTATACTGA